GGGGGGGGGCGGGGGAGAAACAGGGGGGACAGATCAAGGCCCCTGCAGTGACAGAGGGAATGGAGGGGCTGGGGCAGGCACTACACAGCCAGGGCAGGACGGAGTCAGAGGCAGCTCCCATCACTGCATGCACTCCTGGGGAGGCATGAGGGGCATGTGCCCCCTGGTATCTGTGTGCAGGGAAAGGACAGGCTGTCGCTGCACACTTAGGGCTGGGGTCTATGTTAGCTTCTTCCCAGCAGCTGCTCTCAGGCCAGGCAGCGGTGATGCTGGGAGGGGTGTTATGGCCACCCCAAAATTTGCTGTAGCCTAGTGAAGAGCCCAGAACAGCCTCCAGCCCCATGCATGCAGCAGCAGCCACCCACTCTCACCCCACAAACAGATCCTGGGGCACTCGTGCAGTGGCAACAGCCACCGCCCTTCACCCTTAGTGCAGCTGCGCGCATACATCATGACATTTATCAGTGATGTTAATTGGCCACATCAGGCAACAAAAGCCAATCACCAATAATGTCAATTTTGCTTTTATCGGTGCCGATACAATATGAACTAATGTACTGGTGCACCGCTATTTGGCAGTATCTATAAGTGCTAGTAAAATTTAACCATGCAATTCCATCCAGACATGTATGGGGTGGGAACAAACAAATGAACAAAAAAAACCCCCAAAACTAAATTTAATTAAGCAAAAAACAAAACAAAACAAAAAACAACACAAAAAAAACAAACCCCAACCAACCCTAGGAACACAATTGGCATTTTACAGTTTAAAATAAAACAGCATATTTTGTTATGCCTCTTTAAATTGGCATAAACTTTGTTTTACTAAGGCAGAATTGGAACAAGTGCTCTATATACTATAAAGCCCCCCCCCAACATCATGAGCATAAAAGCAAATGTCTACTGTAACTCATTAAACAAAAAAAAAACACTAGTCACATGCTGAGTCTGCTAAAATCTAAAACCCCTAGAAACAGCCTGAACGTATAATCACTCAAAGTTATTGCTTCTAGATCCCTTGTACCTAACTAACTTTCTCATAAAATGTTCTATCCATGTGGCATTTAATGTTAGAGGGAGGAAAAGGAGCCATGCCTTCTAAAACTTCTAGCCGACTATGGGAAAAAAAAAGTTAGATGTTATCCTATGAACAGGGCATCAAAATGGGCTTCTTAACTGTCCATGACCAAAAGTCTACTAAAAGTATAATTGTGTTGGTATACACCACTGGTACGCAACCAGTGGCCCAACTGATTGTTAGGAAAAAAAAAAATCAGTAATAAATTATAAATTGAGAATGTACTCTAACTTTAAAAAGTGTTTCTGTAGGTAGAGATAAAGTGGGATAAATATGCAGATTTCAAGAACTGTTGGTATACCATCCAAATCAGCAGGTACAAACTTATTTTCTAGGAGCATGCCTTTTTCCCAGTTTAGCCTAAACTGCTTCTAAAATTATAGAAATCAGAAAAGGGCTTGTATCAGAATAAGA